CCAGCTCATAACCACTACCCTGTTCTCCCTGCAGATAAGGAAAGCCGAAAAAAAAAAAGTTTCACAAAAGTTATTTTAAATATTTCTCTGCATGAGGAGACTCAAAGTTATTCCTGTCTGCAGTTGTCCCCTAACATCTGGACCTATATCCAAAAGCTGAGCAATCCGGAAGTGCTCAGGAGTTCTATGGACCATATGTCCATTTCAGTGCAAGGTCATGGGGTGAGAGTGTGCATGTGGACACATGGCTTCTTCTGTGAGGACTGAGGTTGTCTAGTATTACTTCTAGACATCATCCAAGGTTTAGCTTTGCCAGAAAGAAGACACTTCTACCCACAGTTTCAGGAGAGCGTGATTCAGCCTTCTGTTGGCTTGGGTGTCAACCACCACTTTTGACTCTGAGGCCTTCTGCTTCTCACTTGAGGGTTGAGCCTAGTGTCCTTTCTTAGGTTTAGTCATGACTAGGAAAATGAATCAGGCATCCTCACCCAAATAGCACCTACTCCTCAGCCTCCTTTCCTCCCCTCATAATGCAAATGTGGTTAATTTCCTCACTACCTGTCAATTTCATACAAGAGTCTGACAATCAACAGAGACGAGTGACAAAGAAGTAGCTTCAGGAACCTAGAAATTTAATCATTATTCTAGTTTACAAGCCACAGTTTCAACATATCTCATCATTAAGTATGAGTTTTACACCATTGCTACTGTTTTTTCAGAGCTACTTCTCCCCAGATTAGCTTCAGCGACCTTTCTCTGCCGTCATAGCACATAGCTCTCTAAAAGAGCACTTCTCACACTGTATCGGAACTTCTTGTCTGTCTGTCTGTCTGTCTTCCCTACCTACTTCAGGTTCTGAGGTACCAAGTTCTGTATCTGTCTTGCCCTGGGCTAGTGGTGACACAGCATGAAGTCTACGTTACAGAACTCACTCGTGGCGTGAAAGTTCCCCAGCGTTATCCTTCCCTGTCTCAGGCAGAGCATCAGTTAACTTCTGCTTTCTTTTCTGGTTACCCATGGAGCCCTGCGAGGCGCTGGCATGAGAGCAGGGACCAAGTCTAAGCTCATTCCTCTGTGGATACTCGTCATCTAGCCAGTGCTCATGGTAGATGTTTTAAAAACATTTTCAAAATGAATGAATGGACTAGAGCCAAGAGACTCCAAGTGAAATTTCATGGAAGGGTTTTTCTGCCTTTCTTTTATTCATTTCTTTAATCCCTGTATTGAATACTTACTGTATGGCAGGAACTATGTATATGTCTGAGGGGGAAGGTAGCAATTAGATACAGGGGAAATACTGGGATTAATAGACACAATCAGGGAGTTCCCTGGTGGTCCAGTGATTAGGACTCCATGCTTCCACTGTAGGGGCCTGGGTTCGATCCCTGGTCAGGGAACTAAGGTCCTCAATTCTGCAAAAAAAAAAAGGCACAATCAGAAAGGGCCCTTAACATCACGTAGGGCAGGAGGAGGGCAAGGGGTGAGTGAGGACATGCTTGTTAGGAAGATGGATTACTTGAGGACCTAATGTTTGGCTGCATTGTGTTTTAAAAAAAAGGAAAAATAAGGTAAATGAAAGAGTTGAAGGGATGGGAATACAAGGTGAGAATTCCAGGCCAAGGGAAGTATTTTATGATGTAAAGTCTCAGGACAAGAGAGAGCACTGTCTGTGGTAGAAACTGCAAGGAGTTGAATAGTACTGCTCAGAGCAAAGACAGCCAGGTGGCACAGGCCAGAGGTGAGGCCCAAGAGGAAGGGATCAGATCTCAGTGGTGTTGGGGGTCAGGTAGGTAGGAGGGTTTCATCCTAAGGCACATGGAGAGCGATTGACGGGCTGTAAGAGTAAGATGATGTCATCAGATTTATTTTAGGAAGTCACTCCAGCTGCAGAATGGATTGGCGGGGATGAAGAGATTCAAAACTGGGTATGACAGAAGAGGTTGTGAGGACTGCAGGGCTGGAGAAGGGTCTAGTTTGACTCCTGTCTTCAAACAGCTTGGAAAAGAATCAACCAAACCACTGAAATCCAAGTAGAATGTCATTTTATTCCACATCAGCCATTCTTCTTCCCCTTCAGGTCTTTGCTGACAGCTATTGACAGATGTTGGATTGGCATGGGTGTGAGTGCTGAGGCTTAAGAGGATCTGGTTAGAAACCTCGTCCCCAGGAGAAGAGAGTCAGTGGCAAAGAAAAGGGACCAGAGGTGACCAAATGAAGACAGTGAATTATGGCTCATAAAGATGCTGGGAAAGACAGGCTTCCCCTAGAATGAGCTGTCAGTAAAAACTTTAATTAGATCAAGGTACTCCTATGACGTACTGTGTTCTAGATTCTTGGGGTGAGGACATTTGTAATTTGCAAAAGTAAACTCAATATCATCATATAACTTCCCTTTGGAAAGCAGGCAAACAAAAAGGAGCTTTCTTGTTTGTACTATAAAGTAAAAGGGACTAAAGTAGACAAAATCTGCCTGGCTGCGGGATGTGCAAGTGTTCTGTGTTATGTGCGTGGTGGTCACTGACAGGGGTCTGGGGAAAAAGGAGAATTTGCCGAAGGGGGTGGGGGAGTAGTGGCAGAGATAGTTATGCTTATCAAAGGGGGGAGCAGGGATCAAGAAAGTTTGAAAAACAGTGAATTAAAGTCATATAAGTGCTTTAGTCCTAAAAACTGAGAATTTATTTATATATTCTGCATTTTTTCAAACACAACATAATTATCAAATTTGACATCTATTACTCCAGACTCTGTGGTAGCCAAAGGGACCCAGAGACTAAGAAGGGACCACCCTGTCCCCCAAAGTACATGATCTAGTAGAGAAGACAGAGGAACGATTAATACCCTTACATGACAAGTAGCATAATAGAGCATGTATAAAGAACCTGAGAAAGAGAGGGATTGATTTCTAGTTGTTTAATTGTGTTTAGAGTTGACAACATGAATGGACATTGGGGAACATGTATAATCTTAGATAGTAATATAAATATTAAAAAATCCCATGAAAACCCTAATCCTCACAGCCTCACATGGAGGACATGGCAGAGGTGTACAAGGGTAAGGATGACCTGGCTGAGGAACACGTACCACATGACCAGGGTCATCAACTCCACATCAAAGGGGACTCCAANAGGGGAGAGAGGAAGCCCTGCAGGAGGAGGACACATTCTGCTTGCTGTCAGGCAACTCCCATTCTGTTGATCCTGGACAAAGCCTGCGTTCGGGGGGACTACTGAAAATGTCCCTGCTTGTTCCCTGAAGAACTCTACTTACCAGCCTCATTCCAGGAGCTGCCAGATGCATTTAACTGCAGCTTTTTCTTCCCTGTTTATTGCCCTGCTGCCAGATTCTGACTAATTTATAACTGGTCACACTTGGGCAGCATTTCTGGTCCTGGCTGCTCTGTGATAACACATTAGTTTCTTAACCACATACAACCTCAAAACTGACGGGAGCTACGTTCGGTAGATTACTCCTTTCTGCTCGTGGACGCCGCCGAGTAAGCATCGTTGACGTCTCCCCCCACCTCCACTGCCGTCATGTCTAAGTCAGAGTCACCCAAAGAGCCCGAACAGCTGTGGAAGCTCTTCATCGGAGGTTTGAGCTTTGAAACAACCGATGAGAGTCTGAGGAGCCATTGTGAGCAGCGGGGAGCGCTCACAGATTGTGTGGTAATGAGGGATCCAAACACCAAGCGCTCCAGGGGCTTCGGGTTTGTCACATATGCCACTGTGGAGGAGGTGGATGCGGCCATGAATGCAAGGCCACACGAGGTGGATGGAAGAGTGGTGGAACCAAAGAGGGCCGTCTCAAGAGAAGATTCTCAAAGACCTGGTGCCCACTTAACTGTGAAAAAGATTTTTGTTGGTGGCATTAAAGAAGACACTGAAAAACATTATCTAAGAGATTATTTTGAACAGTGAGGGAAAATTGAAGTGATTGAAATCATGACTGATCGAGGCAGTGGCAAAAAGAGAGGCTTTGCTTTCGTAACCTTTGATGACCATGACTCTGTAGACAAGATTGTCATTCAGACACTGTGAATGGCCACAACTGTGAAGTAAGGAAAGCCCTATCTAAGCAAGAGATGGCTAGTGCCTCATCCAGCCAAAGAGGTCGAAGTGGCTCTGGAAACTTTGGTGGTGGTCGTGGAGGTGGTTTTGGTGGGAATGACAACTTTGGTCATGGAGGAAACTTCAGTGGTCAAGGTGGCTTTGGTGGCAGCAGTGGTGGTGGTGGATATGGTGGCAGTGGGGATGGCTGTAATGGATTTGGTAATGATGGAAGCAATTGTGGAGGTGGTGGAAGCTACGATGATTTTGGCAGTCACAACAATCAATCTTCAAATTTTGGACCCATGAAAGGAGGAAACTTTGGAGGCAGAAGTTCTGGCCCCTATGGTGGTAGAGGCCAATACTTTGCCAAACCCCAAAACCAAGGTGGCTATGGTGGTTCCAGTAGCAGCAGTAGCTATGGCAGTGGCAGAAGGTTTCGATTACTGCCAGGAAACAAAGCTTAGCAGGAGAGGAGAGCCAGAGAAGTGACAGGGAAGTTACAGGTGACAACAGATTTGTGAACTCAGCCACGCACAGTGGTGGCAGGGCCTAGCTGCTACAAAGAAGACACGTTTTAGACAATACTCATGTGTATGGGCAAAAAAACTTGAGGACTGTATTTGTGGCTAATTGTAATTTCGGTTTATTTGGCCTCACTGTGTATCAGGCACACGAACTTTTTTCAATAACAGTTATACCCCCAATCTTCACTGCATTGTCTGAGGCCCTGATAATCTTAGATAAGGCACTTTTCTTTGCTCCTAAAAAGTTGCCAGAAGGGTCTAATTTCTTTTTCTTGCACTGCAATTGTTGATAAATGTATTTGATGGTTTTTCCTTCAGAAATTTTGTAGAAGAAATATAGGTTTCTGATAACTGTCAGACCATACTACTGAACTGGGTAACAAATTACAGAACTCTAATTGAAAAACTGATGGCTTCCTAAAACTGCTAACAGCAGATCAAGATCAAC